ATGCTCCCTGAACCACTATTTCACATTTTCAGCGCAATGAATCCTGGCATTGTCACCTTGGAATATCCCCGTGCCATCAGGGAAGAAAAAAATCCATTGATGGAGAAACCTGGTCATTCACTATATTCAGGTAGGCAGCTGACCTCATTTTTGGGGACATAATGTTGCTGAACATAGACCTATTATCCAAAGAAAGACTCTGACCTATTTGCTGAGACAAATTCAGGTGGTGACTTTTTTTTAGCCAGGCAGTGCACTCGATGTGTCTGTGCTTACCTCCTTTACTATATCATGATACTCTACACAGGTGCTATGTTTTTATGCTATGTTTCTGTGTGGCTGAGCGTGAAAGGCAAAATATTGTTATTATTAATATTGGGGATTAATGTCGTTTTTTACTTATGTGCTAGCGTGCAAATAATACTTTGAAGATCTCTAGTGTAAAGCTGACCATACGCCAGTAGAATTTGGTTCGATCGCTTTTGATTGCAGTTACAAAAAAAAATTCAAGTAGCAGGAAGAAAAACATTTCTCAAATTAAATTCTAACTGTGAAGGTGGTTTTTATTTAAGAAATGCCCTAAGTTCCAAAAGTAGCTTTATAAAATGTTCTGATGATATTGTTTTGTATGAGCATTCCTACAAAACTGTACAAGAGTATGGCCAGCTTTAATCTCTGTTCCAGCTATGCCCCCCCCTAAAATTCAAAGCCAAAAAAAATCCTATTGTAAAAGCCCCCCCAGAAAAACAATTACCTAATTATGCGGTCGCATGACACATTGGGTCTAGAGCAGGGGTAAGCAAACTCCAGCTCTCCAGCTGTGGTAAAACTACAAGTTTCATCATGTCTACAGGAGTCATGGCTGTGGCTGTCAGAGCTTCGCAATGCCTAATGTGATTTGTAATTGTGCCTCAGCTGGAGGGCCAGAGTTTGCCAACCCCCGGCCTTCTCTCTTCCTTACTGCAGAGCAGGAGGGCGCTTCTTTCGGTTCCTATGTTGCTGCTTGCATGATGTGCACAATTCCTACTGGCTGTCCAGTAGTGAGTTCTTCTCACAATCCATGGGACTGAAGACCACATTAAGTCACAGGGAGTGGGACCGTTCAGTTTGAGCGCAGACTGCAGCTCCGGGCCACCAGTCTCCACAAACCAGAGACAAAAAGCAGATTTAAAGGTAAGTATATTTTAAATGTCTGTGAATGAGTGGAAGGTAGCTATTTAACCAGAAATAGCTTTCAAATAAAGCCCATCTCCAGACATCCACAAACTCCACCTCCCTAGTATATGGAAACTGAGCTGAAATAAGTATTTATTGCCAATGCTCCTCAGCTCCATCTAGTTGCCATATTGCAGTATTACATTACATTTGACTTGGAAAAAGAAAATATACAAGGAACGTTTCTTTTTGCCTCTATTCACACAGACCAATTGAATACACTTACACTTCTTCACAGTAAGACCTTTACATTTAAATATGCCAAACTTGTACATTGAAATTTTAAATATCAAATCGTGCTTAGTTGGGTTCTACTGGTAAAATTATACAATGTAGAAAATTATTGCATGTCTATGTTTGTTATGTGGGGAAAAGGGATTATTATGCAGTTGCATCAAGCCCTAAAGCCTGACTGCCATCCAAAATCCACTGCCAGCTTAGAGCGGGCTAAAGACATTGCTACTATGTTGGTAGAAGGGTTCTCTTTGTGCTGCGTCTATGGTATTTGGAGTAAGAGGTTCAGCCTGAGTCCTATTGTAGTAACTGAGATGAGGTCTATTTATTGGCTAAGCCCCCAGGCACCAGACATTGGAAGTTCATTGTGCCTGTTAATTAAAGAAAGTCATTTACCTACCTTAAGGGCAAAGAAAGTCTACGTGTGTACATTATGTGAACTGTGTTATTGCTTCAACAACCTTACAAATCCTTAGTTGTGTGCCATAGGGCTCAGTGACTTTACTGCTACTTAACCCCTTGCAGGAGTTAAAGGGCTTTTGTTAAACTAGCAAGGAGTACAAAGCAGAGCTGATGGTTTGTTTTATTAGAACTTGTAACTTGCATGCAGTTATAGCATAGTACAGTATAGAACAGTATAATATATATTGTAGGAACAGTTGTGAATTTGCACACAAAACTATATTAAGAAAAAAAATGTCCAGAATAAATTAAAGAGGCCCTGTCACCAAATTATAAACTGCAGATAAGAGCACATACAAATCAAGTATTTTAAATGCTTATGGGCAGCATAATTTCCTTTCCATAAACAATTTCTTATTGACTTACAATGTGCCTCTGAACTTGCCAGCAAATTTAACTGCTCCAGGAAGTGTTTATTCTCTACAAGTCCCCTCCCTCCTTGCCCGTCATAAGTCTTTCCTCATCTGCTCTTCTCCTCCTCTCTTCTTGCTCTCTGTGCTGACCCAGCTCCTACACACCTCCATTCACCCCCATACAGAACCTTTTATGTAGCAGCTGGGGGGAAGGAGTGTAGGGAAATACTATAGAGCAGCCTTTCTCAACCGTGGCACCCTGCAGGGGTGCCTTAAAATCCTTCTGATGTGAAGGGGGGCTTCAGATGTAAACGGCGGGGAGGGGGGACTTCTGATGTGCTTGTGATGTGAAGGGGGACTCTGATGTGAAAGAGATGGACTGTAATGTGAAAGAAGTAAGCTCTGATGGTAAGGGGGGTTCAAGTGTGAGCAGAGGGGACTCTGATTTAAAAGGAGGGGGCTCCTGATGTGAAGGTGGGTTCCTGATTTGAAGGGGACATTTCAATGTGAACTTGGGAACCCCACATATTTTTTGAGTTTTTTTGTATGGGGTTACCCCTTAAAATGTATTACATTTTAGACAGGGGTGTCTCGAGATTTTGCACAGATTTAAAGGGTGCTGTAATGGAAAAAATGTTGAGAAACAATGCTATAGTGTGCCACTTCAGTGATTGCCAGGGCTGATGACATCACATCAAAGGTGGAGATGCCCAGCAGCAGACTGCGTATGTACATTAAATGTACATACAATCTTATGGAAAGATGGCTGTTGAAATGAATTGCCTGGTGACAGGGTCTCTTTAGGCCTTAAAAAGGACATAATAGCATCACATACCAAAGAAAATGTATACTGTTTGAGATATTTTGAGGAATGATGAATTACAAACGAATGAAAAATAACTTTTAAGTTACCATGTTTGCCCAGTTTTTCTGGTTATGGTGTTATTATACAAGTTATAAGAGAAAAAACGATTTAAAGCCTAACTCCAGCCAAAACTTGTCATTTCATTTTTAACAGAGCAGGGAAGAGTTAGAACCTCTGCCAGCTTGTATTGATGCATCAATATTGATCTATTGATGATTAAAACTTCCGACAACATCTATATTGATGTCTGCGACTTCCTAGCCTGGTAAAAACTGTTCCTTTCACTTCCTGTCCTGATGTCACAAGGACAGGAAGTCAGGGAATATCTCCTCAATGGGGGTCACAGACAGATATAAAAATCTGAAGGAAATCTTAACCACTTTGCTACCAGATACATTTTTTCATGATTTGCACACGTTAAAAATCGGCATTTTTAGCTAGAAAATGACTTAAAACATCAAAACATGATATATTTCCTAAAAGCAGAGACCTCGTAAAATACAATTATGAAAGTCTAAAACTTTACATTACTTGATATTTGCTGTTTATTACATGTATATTTTCAATAAAAAATGCACAAAAATGAATTGTAAAACCTGAAAGCACAACACAATTCCCAATATCTGTGTGCAAAATAAAAGACAGGGATGCGTACATAGATTTTAAACATCTCAAGCCTCGAGCTCCCACAAAATGGTGGAAAATTACTGTACCCAAAATTAGCAATAGCCGATGCTTTGAGGGTTTTTAAATGCGCATCAATTTAGAGTTAAAGGAGAACTTCAGGGAAAATTACTATTACCCTTGCCATGGGGCTACCCTTGCACTCCAAAGATTAAGTGCTCGTTCATGTCTAGGAAGGAAAAGAAAAAAGTTATACTGACCTGACCTTTGGAGCCGGCTTGCTCTTAGTCCTGTCCCTGGAACCTCTCTGCCCCTCCGATGGAGTGCTCTATAGTCCCTGAGTCATCACATTCTGTACACAGTGTATAGGATGAGAAAACAACGAGGAACATCCATTGCTGCAGAGGAGGAGGAGTCAGGCTGGAGGAAACGCTGTCAAAGCCAGCCGGCTTGGAGCATCGGGTGAGTATAACTTTTATTTTACTCCCTAGACCAAAACAAGCAGTTAGCCCTTGCAGTATGGGGGTAGCCCCACTACAAGGTTGAATACAAATTTTCCCTGGAGTTCTGCTTTAACCATAAATTACGAATTAGAATTTTTTTTATCACTCCAACATACCCGATGATACCCAAAATGTGTACGAAATCATTGCTTACATATACCTATTTGCATTTGTGTGTACATGGGAACACAGGGGTGCTTTTATTTCTTTTTCTTTGTTGTTTTTATTTATTTTATTATGATTTAATTTTTTCTGACCTTTTTTTTTCACTTAACTTTGTTTCACAATCACAAAGGGGTAACAAACTGCGGCTGCCTCACTATATAGCGGGCAATAGCTTGCTATATACTGTGTTTTGGGCCCTCCCGTGACCCTATAGAGAACTATGGGATAAAAAGGTTACCCCATAGCTCTCTTTTAAAGTAAAAATAAAAGTTTTTCTATTTAAAACTACCAAAGGTGGCTGGAGTTAGTCTTCAAATGAAAAACAGTTAAAAAGCCAACATTTGACTTAAAAATATGGCTTTTATTTTTCCTTTTCTTGTTTTGTTCTTGTTTATTTGAATGTAAATGTAACATGACTATTACACAATGTGTTCCCATATGCTTCTGATTGTAAACTACGGATTATCTGATTATACATTCTGTAATGCTTGAACAATTTAATAAAAACTTTCTGGTTTAAAAAAAAAAGCCAACATTTGTCTATAATACCATAGTACACTGAATGTATGGTTAATTTACCTGTTGCCATGTACATGTGATGCGCAGAAGGCAAAACTATAATGGAGCAAAGTTGGGTCAATCATCTCTCCGTTTTCTGCTCTCTCCAGTAAATCGCTTAGATAACACAGGTGTCGATGGCATCCTCTCACTCCATAGCGAGCACAGTATTCATCAAGGACAAACACCTGACCAGGACTGAACCAACCCTAAAACAGAAAACAGAACAAATGAACTGCTAGGTAGAAGTACCAACTTTCCAGTTGATTGACCAAATTATTTTGGGAGCTGGTCTGAAAAATTTCGGCTAAACAGTGACTGCAGCCAATTTGTTTTGCACCCGACTGGATGATTGAAGTTAAAAGCTATATGTACTTTTTAGACCAGCCTTTTTCAAGCTTTTTTCAGTTGCAGCACCCTTTAAAAGTGTGCAAAACCTCAAGCACTCCAGTCTAAAATGTAATGGATTTAAAGGGGGACCCCACATAACAACAGACAAAAAAGAGTGGTTCCCCTTCACATCAATGCACCGCTTCACATCAGAGCTCCCCTTTCAAATAAGAGTCCCACCTTTCAAATTAGGGTCCCCCTTCACATCAGTAGCTCCCCTTCAGATCAGAGTCCCCTCCTTTCACATCAGGAGCCTTCAGCTCCCTTTCACAAAGCCTAAATTCCTACCATCACAAAATTTCGAGGCACCCCTGAGGAAGCCAGAAGGCACCCTGGTTAAGATCGTGTTTCATGATACACCCATATTCAAGTTGTAACATGAAACACGGTCACATTGACAAACAACTATAAAGGTACATTTTTCAATGAATGTAGGTGCTAATAATAATAATAATATTTATTTATTTAAAGGTGGACTATGCCTTTAACATAGCTTTGCCTTATTTACTAAGTACATTGAACAGTCTTTATTTCTTTAGTAAATCAATCCCAGAGTGTTTATTCCTTTTCTAAAACACTACACCAGCATTATATTTTGCTGTTGTAGGTAATATTTTGCTTTCACTTTATTTGTCTGTCACTATTATCCTGACAGATGGTCGCTGGACTTTGGCACTCTGGGAAGAAGCCTAATTTAAATACAGTATATCATTATAGATTTTCACTACAAACAGCAGTTACGGTTTTAACTCACTTTTAACCTACTCATTATTGATAGCTATTGCTCTTAGTATTGATTACAAATGGTCAGTAAGCAAAGTATACACCACTAGAGGCAAATTAGAGAGTAGAGTTAAAAAGGTGTCTTGAATAATAGCCATGCTTACATACCCACCCAACATTAAGCTCTCACTATAATCTCCAGTTATTGTGTGGACAAACCTCCTTAAGAAGGGTTTTGTATTTTACCAAATCCTTCATAGAAAAATGTAGGTTTGTATTTAATTATTCAATAACAGGTCAGGACCTTGGTAAACAGACTGACATCTTGGGAATTATAACTGTTATTTTGGGGAAAATTAAAGACATGACCACTGAGTGTACTTTAAAAAGAAGAAAAGGTAAGGAATTCTGTACAAAGAAAATATTTACATAGGTTTCATTTTGATTTATCTCATTGAGGGCTGGTTCACACCAGAACATTGCACTAAGGGCATTGTACCCATGCTTTTAGCACATGCTATTGCACAGCGCAATGCTCTGCACACTGCTGTGTATTGCCATTCATTTGAATGCCACCCCAAAGAACCTCCCAGCAGGACCCAGCACACCAGGATGCACAGATTTGCAAAACACGCCCGCTGGGCTGTTAAGTGGTTGCAAAATATAAACATACTAGTATATGAACGGCTTAATAAAACTTTAATACTGCAGAATGTATCAGTACTTTAGACACATGATCACACCAACAGGTCAAGTGGGCCCATAATCCTCAGAATAGGGGTCAGGTTGCAGGACTTTAAACAGGTCATAGGAAACATATCTAGACAAAACGGGCCATACATTTTGCATGTGCATGCTTTAACTAAAACTCATATTTTACATATTTAACTATGTAAAATATGAGTTTTAGCCTGTGAAATGGTCCCAAACTGATTGTTCAAATAGGCTGAAAAAATGGGGTTGAATTACTCAATGAGTAGAGACTGCTCACTTCTGAATGTTGCATGTGTAGAAAGCCAAAAACCAAGCTGGGAAAATCAGGAGGCATCAAGTGCAATCACATGGGAGGGTGGGAGCAAATCATGTGCTCACCCATACCCAGAAGTTCAAAGTATTTTACTTTGCACCTGGCAACTGAAGCAAGTGGGAGGAGGGGTAAGTATATGATGTCATCCGCAAATTTAAAAAGCCGATATGTGGGTTTGTTAACGTTTTTTAAGGTTGTTTTACTCCAGCCCCACTGCCATTTTCACCTAGGCAAGAATGACATGTCCTGCACCTGCAAACTCTTGGTATATCCCTGTTACATACCCCAGATGGCTGCAGAGGCAGAGACACAGAGTGGCCAGTGGGTAAACCTGGCAGGGGCCAGCTGGAAGAACCAGCTCGCTACTGCAATGGACTACAATCTCAATGCAAATTAGTAAACTAAACATGAGATTGTAGTCTATCACAGGGGCGAGCTTGGAGAGGTGACTACTTTAAGAAACCCACACAGGGACCATGGGGAACAAATGTTGCAACCCACCATAAGGAAGGACAGTGTCAGCACCAATTCAGAGATGATTTGAGAATATTCAGCCGAGTGATACACAAATAAGTTACAATTTTATTAATATTTAAGTGTACTTGAATGCTTTTTTAAGATTTAATTCTAGAGTTTAGTGTCACTTTAAGTGATCCTTTTACTTTGACCAGCACAGACAAAGAAAAAAAGGGTCAGTTGAAGCTTATTTACTAAGCTGAAAAATCAAACCTAATTATGTATATGAAACAAAAGATACTTTGCCACAAAATACACCAGTGACAGCTTACCAAGCAGGAATATGAGTCGTTAAGTCTGTGGTCCAGTGTGAGTCGCTGAAGCATCTCGAACAGGGTGGCGTGGTCAAAGTTGCACGGGTTCGAGGAGATAAATTCATCCATGCCATGTTTTTGGGCTCTGTCAGCATCTGTTTGTTTCCATGTGTGGAAAAAAATAAAGTTTAGAACAACAGAAACTATTTATTTTGTTTTATCCAATGAGACCTGATAAAAAAAAATACAAAATATATCTATGCATAAACTGCAAAAAAATGATGGCTGTCTTACTAATGTCTATCTCCTTTAACTAGATTATCTACCATGAAATCAACACCATTATATAAGGAAACACAGTATTATTTATTTATGAACTTATTAGGTAAATATGGTAATTATTATTCCTGTTTAATTTATAATAGAGCACAGAACTATTTATTCTTTTTAAGCAAGTTATAATAAATGTTAAAGACCAACTCCAGTCAAAACATTTTATTAGTTTTGGTTAGAACAAAGGATTAGAATTCCTGCAAGGTTTTTCTTTTGGCTGCTGTTCCTATTGGAGAGATTTAACCTCATACCCTGTCAAGACAGGAAGTGATAAGACATCTAATCAATGGGACCACAGGCAAAGACAGAACATTTTTTTTTAGCAACAAGGAAGGGTTACAACTTGTTGTCTGAGCTTTTCTCTCTTGGTGACAACCACTCACCTCCTTTCTTGTACAGGTGTCACATGGGCAGGGAGTGAGAGAAAGTCTCCCCAATGGTCTCACAGGAAAAAAAACCTGACAAAAACACACACCTATTCTACTCAAAACGAAAAAAAAAAAAAAAGGTGCTTTAGGTGGATCTTAAACTAAATTTTTAATGCCAAGTGAATGCAAGGTTAATGAATGATTCACCAATCATTCCAAAGAGAGATCTTCTGGCTGGAGATTGCAGCTTCCGCCATAACTCTGGTGGACTCTAATTCCCTCTCCACAGCAAATTCCGAATGGAAGAAAAATAATCAACAAAGTGGCAATAATAAATAGGGAGAAATGTACTTTAAGCTGCAAACACAAACCCCTGTACTTTATTTCAAATGTTTTCCAAAAGTGTTGTGGTGGACAAAGTCAGTAACCGGACCCCATGGAAGAAGAACATATGGGCCCCCAAAATTCAAATAAAGTGTATCCAAAGCCAACATATCTTTTTTAGTTTTGAAAAGCAGGGAATGGTTAAAACCTCTGTCAATTTTTTTTGGGCTGTGTCTCATGGAGGAGATTTTCCTTTAATCCATCTTTTTAGGCACAACAGGAAGGGGGCGTCTTCAAGCAAGGGAAATCATCTCTGGAACAAGGGTCCCTATTGAAAATTTTCCAGTCTACTCCTGTTCCAGTGACAACTCAAAATGTTGGATTTTCTCTCACTTTCAGTACCAGTGACAATGACAATGAGGATAAATAAGAAGGATGAACCTCTCCATCATGGACACAAACAACAATAAATACTTTAGGCTCCTTTCACACCTAGGCCTTTTGTCGCTCAAAGCTAAGCACAACACAAGGCTCAAGACAAGGAATCACATTCATTTCTATGGCCCCTGTTCACACCTGAGTGTTTTGTCCCAAAGTTTCCCATCGAAGTTTATGGGACCAAAAAGCTATATAATCTGCCAAAAAAGTAACTTATGTACCATTTTTGTTATTGCTAAATTTTTTCCAGCGACAAAAAGGTTCAGGTGTGAACAAGGGCCATAGAAATGAATGAGATTCCTTGTCTTGAGTGTTTGATCGCGCTTAACTTTGAGCGACAAAACGCCTAGGTGTGAATTGGGACTTAGGCATTAGATACACTTCAAACTCTGGGTGGGTGTATTATTTTATTAATAATCTCGAAAGTTCTGCATTATGATGACATGACATAAACAACCATTGAACAACTGATGATTAATTCACTCTAATCACATTCACTCACTTCCCATTAACCCTTGATTTCTCTGATGTGTATTACATACCCTGGGCATTTTTATTGCTTGCCATTAATTATTGTTTTGGTCTAGGGAGGAAAATAACAAAGTTATCCTGACCTGATCTTCGAGAGCTGCCGGCCGTGACAGCGCTCCCTCCTGCCTGTCTCCTCCTAGCCTAGAACCATGATATGTCCCTCGGTGTCCTCACCCCTATACACTGTACACTGACTCACAGACCTTAGACTGCTACAGCGGAGGGGGAACGAGGCTGGAAGGACTGGTCTAAGAGCAAACCAGCTCAGGGGCTCAGAGGATCGGATGAGTATACCTTTTTTATTGTCCTCCCTAGACCTAGAACAGTTAACCCTTGCTGTGCAGGGATAGCTTCACTGCAAGGGTTAATACAAATATTGCCCAGAGTTCTTCTTTAACTGGTCAGGTGACAAGTCAACATTTTGCAGTCCAGTTAGCAATGGTCACCAGGACAAACAGAAAGTAAATCTATTTTTATTTTACGTTTTGATATTGTTAGGAAGGGTTAGACCCTCTGCCATGGATTACTGCTGTCTGTTTGTCTTGGTGACCATTTCCCCCAATTTCCCCCAAGAAATTAAGGAGAAAGCCTAAATTTTAGGATTGTCGTGAGAGCAAAAGGTGAGAACTTTTAATAGGGACAAAGGTTCTGGTGTCTAAGGTGTAAATTCTCCTTACTTTAGGGTGATCTCTCTGTTGCATCTTCAAACTATGTGGGGAGATCTCCCCAGCAGGACACGTACAGCAAAAAATAATGTGATGTGGTTTTAGCACTCTACTCTATCAACTTTTTTTTTTTTTTAATGGCTATCCAGTTACTGTTATTCATTCCTAATTATAATAATTTAAATGCCTTAAACTAAAGACACATGGAGGTTTTGATTAACGACCATAAATCCTTAACAACATAATTTAGTGGCAAGGAAGACCTGCATTGGATAGATGAAGCCCTAAAACCAATTTGTATTGTTATGTTAACTGCATAGGTGGCAGCTTGTGAGGGATGGGGGGGGGGGGGGGAGG